CTCTCTCTCTCTCTTGAGTCCTCGCAGCAATGGTAACATCTAAGAGAAAATAGCAGCAGCAGTGCGGGTGTATATTCCGGACATACGGGCTTGCTTTACGAGCGGACAACTAAGGTATGCTCTGATTGTGTGCTCTCTTTTCCGGTAGCAAACCCCACCATTTGTGTTCTCTCCTCCCTTGCTCACTCTCTCTCTCTCTCTCTCTCTCTCTCTCTCTTTCTCTCTTTCTACAGCTTTCCTTTTCGCCACGGCTTATATTCTTTCTCTGCGATGTACACTTGTTTTTACTAGACTCAGAGCTAAAATGAGAGAGAAAGAGAGAGCGAGTTTTACGTATGCTTATACCACTGCTGGGCAAGCGTCTGTACTGTATGCTCATTTTCGCAACGGCTCAGAGATTTTATACGTTCCGGCTTTAGAGTTGAGAAAGTGGAAAGAGGGCAGTGTATAGCTGCTGTGTATGTGTACATGGAGTCAGGATGTTACCACCCTGTATCATATCGCATAACGAAAGTTTCTTCAAGCCAGTAAGAGAGTGAAATAGCAAGTGCACAACCACGAGAGAGAAAGGGAGGAGTGACGCATACAGAAAGAGCGGATGAACCTTATTTTCCTTTTACGGTGCGAACATTAAATGCCGAATTCACAAAATCTTTAGTTGAAAGCTTATGCACGGCGTTACGGGTGCCCATAATGTATCAATACTACATATTGCTTGGCTTTCTAGTTCCGAATTGTCGTAAAAGAGTTGCCTTTTTTATGATCCGCAATCATGCGATCGCAACGTAAAAATATCAACATCACTGCTAGATGACGATAAAATAAAGCGCAAGCTCATTTGTAAGCTCAGGTGTAATCCAATTTTGAAATATAATCGAGTAACGGCGAGAGACAAAGCATCCTGAAAGGAAAGTGAGAGAGATCGAATTCCCGCAACAAATCACTAGTCTGATGTACACATCAGTTTCTCATGGGAATCCCGTAAGAAAGAAATCAAAGTCACATCTGTGATTTCTTGCACGCCTGCAATTTCGCGACTCGCTCGCGTACAGTTGTCTTCGAAGCGTAAGATCGATGAGGTGTTGTCGCAAGACTTTTTCCGATTCTTTATCTACAGTCAACTTATTTTCAGATGTTATTTATCGAGAGCTAGACATAATACCACTTGAAAACGATTTTTCTCTTTCATTCGACAATTTATTTAGTGCCAATATACACGTACATATAAAGTAATCAAAGTATCCTTTCCAATTATTATATCATTTCCAAAGAATTAAAAAATAAAAAAAAACCAAGTATCAAACTACCAGCAGCTCACAAAATTGACTGGATAGCAGATAAAGCTTGGATCATAGCTCGTCTTTTCCTACTCCTACGCGCGATATGAGAATAGTTTTGGCTTTTGGCTGAATACTTGAATCGCCGAAGCCTCGTTGCACACACACGCATGTATAAAAGCGCGAAAAGAAGAGCGAGGATTCGACGAAGGGACTGCGAGTGAGAACAGAGGACATCTCAGAGAAAGCAAGAAACGCCAGTTCGCTCTAAGTGCGGGATTATGCAAAGCAGTGACCGTACAGTAGAAAAATACGGAGCGTCTCCACGCCATCTTTTCCGGACCATTCTAATAACTTTGCCACTTCCTCTTTATTCCCTCTTGCCAGTCTCCCTCTCCTTTTTCAGTCTCCCATTCCGCCGATCTCTCGCTCGTCGTCGCGCGACCCGCGTGTAATACTCTATATGCCGAATACCAGAATACGCGCCACCACTGCCGGTTAAAATGCGAATGTGCGCCCGTGAAATATACATGCCGTGACGTATATATATACTACGGTGGCGTGAACCGAAATCTGGCTCTGCCTGCTACTGTTAGCTGCTGCATCAAAAGTGAGAGCGGTCGTAGAAAATATTTTTCAGCACCGAAAGGGATCGAAAAATGTTGCATTACTGTAAAGAAGAATAATTATTCTAAATATAATTATAAATTATAATTATCGGGAAAACGGAAAATAGTGCATGGAAGTTAGCTGAATGTATAGAATGAAGAGCATGTTTGAAAAAAAAAGAAAAAAATGCAAATTTTCGAATAAAAACAATTGCGATTGTGGAAAGAAAATGAGAGTATTAATAGTTTCCCAAATCGTCGATCTTGCTCGCGAAGCAGACGCAAGTTTGGTATACGAGTAACAAGCAAGTCATCCTCGTGATGGATGGAGTATGCGGCTATTTAGACGCGTCGTTAACTCGCGTGCGAACGTGCGTATTTGTCATTCCGGCGTAACAGCGACTCAAGCGTGCATGAGTATGTATAAGCGCGTGCGGTTGTAGTTGTCTGCGGAAGGGTCAGTTCTCTGATGCCTGCTGCGCTGTACTGCATTGCGTTGTAATTATGTTCGAGGAAAGCACGTGACTTCTACTTAGCAACACGGAATTCCGTTGGTCAACGATCCAAACGACACGATGCGACAGCTCGCGAGGCCAAGGGATATGCTGGTGCAGATTGCGTCATCAAATAAATTCACTCACGTGTTTAGTAACGTGTATCATTACAAAATCCCAGTTCTTATAAATTCATTAGAATTTATACCATAAAAGTAAACGGTACATGCAGGATCTTGCATTTATATGTAACCATACAAATTGTAAAGCTTTTATTGGCAACGCAGAAGACAATGAACAAAGAATTGCTCTCTGAAATACTGCGGTGATGTATAAAATCGTCATATTAATACAAAGACAGGTACCCCAATGATTATATTTTATCTCGTACGTGAAGCAGAACTTGTAATAAAATTTGCATTACACAGCTTCTCCGGTGATTTACATGTTCGAGTAAATCTTTCTCCAAAGTACACGCGACATCGTTTGCATACCAATATCATATACGATACTACAACTGGCAAAACGAATTTAAAGAATTGATGTATATGAACATAACGGCGGCGCACGATAAGGTCGATTTGGCTCATTTGCCGATGCGCGCACGATGCTTATCTAGGAGTTATGATGTACATGGAAATTATATTTCGCAGGCAGGCAGCAGCGACAGCTAAGATGCTATGGACTCTTGAATCGCGTACGCCGCACGCTCCTCGTTATCTTTTGTGCTCGCAGTGGCAGCGCGTTTTGCCTACGACTGCTCCTTGCTAGCGAGCTATATCATATATGAGAAGCAACAAGATTCGCTTATATGTCTTGTACGTGTAGTGGAGAACATTCTCGTAAACGTACAGGTGTGCATACGCGTGCTCTATTTAAAAGCCCGGCATGCCTATCGCGGGGGTGCTCTGGTTGAACTTGCAGAATACACCGAGAAAGTTTGATTCAGAAATTGTTGCCCGCGATCACGCACCTGCACATTTGAATAATACTATCTCGTTAAACGCAAAACTGCCTTGTGTGCAATGTGCACTACAAACTGAAATTTTTGTATAATATGTTTTTCCTGCGTTATACTCCTTTATTTCAAGGCTGCAATGCACGTTCAATGTGAGTCCGGGGCTGTTCTCCAAGATGGCAATTTATCAGACTTAAGCGCGCGGGGCATTCTGCTTCGTTTTTTGCTTGCAGGGCTGAAGCTTACCGGTGGCACGCGCGAGTGCAATATTTTTCCTAGAGCAATATTTTTGATCCCAGAACATGTCATCTGCATGAGTCGAGATAATAATTCGTTGGGAGCGAGATTTTTATTCCTCGTTCGCGAACAGATACTGCCGCGCGTTTTACGTAAAAAGACGCGGGCCGAACGCGATATGAATTTTTTAAATTAAGAGAACGTAAGATGAAGAGACGACGGTACGTATGTAAAGTATTAGGACGATGGAGGGCCGTTTATCAAATATGCATTAACGCTTTCTTGATTAATGATCCGTTGCGCGCGCGCGCGGAGCGAGCACCGACTTACGACTCCGGGAATACGAGAAGAACCATCAATTTCTTACGGACCGCTGCCTTATTTCTTTCGAATAATCAAATGTGTTGCCAGATTTTTTTTATTCATTAGAAAATGGAACGTTGGATATTATGAAGAGAATAAAAGAGGGATTGTTTGCAAGTTTATTCTCAATGTATATTAATTCAATCATTTAAACTATGCATGTGTAAAAATCAATGAATTTTATTATTAATAAGCTTTAAATTATGATAACGATAGGTGAAAATCTACTTTGATTTTTTAAAAATGGCATTGATTATTCAATTTTGATATTTTCACTTTTCATTTTTTAACTTTGTTTCTAAATAGAAAATAATAATATTTTTTTCGAATCTAGTTTTTGGCAAATTAGAAAAAATCTATGTATCACAAGTGTTAGTTAGCTTCTAAATTATCCTTTTAATCGTTAAAACGTTTTATTTCATTTATTCTTCACAATTGTAACCCGAAATTATCCGAAGTATCTTATAATCGTAAAGACGCCCTGATCAAAAAATAATAAAGTATAAGATTAATCTCAACCACATATTTTTTATTTTTATCTAATAATAATAATAATAATAATAAAAACGATTAAATTAAATGATTTTATACAATAATATGCAAATTTATTAGAATAAAGGCGTGGTGATAGCATGCAATAAAAATAAAACAGAGTACTGTCAAAAATGATCCTTGAAACGGGGCACAAGAGTCAGCCTGTTGGCATCAAGCACGCTCGGAGGATAGGATAGGTAGGTTCTCAGAGGTAAGGCATAGGGTTTTGCGCGCGCGCACATGTGTCGAAGCTTGAAATATGTAGGCGTGGCCAGCCGGCAGCGAATATGTTCACGTGCCGTGTAACCCCCTCAGGTTATATAGCTCCACCCCTTGATTCGTATGATTGGCTCTTAGCCTCTGCGCGCATCCTCTCCACCTGCTCTGCTCACCCGTTTTCTGCTAACAATTTCAACCCCTAAATACAAGGATACGCAGGCCTGGCGACTCATTCGGTCTCGGAGCGTCGAGCACGACGCTCACTGCTGTACTGTCTGTCTGCTACTCTAGCATAATATTCAGTTTATACTTGTAGTGAAAGTCTGTCGATCGGTGGACACGTTTTAGTGTAACATGTGATAAGAAGTTTTTAAAGCATGTGTGAATAAGAAGCATCTATAGAACTGTGTATTTTTGTTGAAATAAATTTGGAGCCATTATTTTATCAATATACCAGAGTTACAAATTTATATCAGTGGTGAGTACAGATTTCCAACTTATGAAGCTTATGAGCGTTTAATATCTAGTTTTAATATATCATTATCAAGTGTAGTACATGAAATAATATTTTATTATTTCTCTAATTACCATATAATAAAAAGAATATTTCCGTTATTTTTTTTTAGTGGCACTCGTAGATGTAAAAAAACCATAACTCGTGAACAACCAGCACCATGACCATGGAAGAACGTACCAACAGTATCGAGGATGGCGCTCGAACTATTTCGACCGGTGCTACAATAAATTCTTCTAGTCCTAACGGTATCAAAAACAAATTATACGAGTTGACCCCCGGCGACGCAGCTTATCCACTGCAAAGAACCACTCCAAGCAAGCGGTCATTCGATGTCGCGTTTTTGGTAGCACCAGACGAAAAATTGATTAAACGACAAAGCGAGAAGTTGGCGAATTTGCAATTATGTACAAATCGGTTGATGAATGATGCCATTCGACAGCAGCAGCAGCAGCAGCTGCAACAGCAGGTCGTGTCTATCGATAGCGAAGATTCTCATGAATACGAGCATCACAGTGATCGGATACCACAAAATCTGACCATCAAACATTTTGAGGCCATTAAAATACGAAGGGCTGAGGAACACCAATCGCCAACTTATACATCTCCAAAAAGAAGATTGACATCACCTGCAGATTTGTCACCAGAACCATCGCTCATTCACCCTTTGTACGCTGGGTTACTCAAGAGTCCTAGTCCAAATAGTTTATTTCAGCGTACTCAAGTTCGAAAATTATTTTCTGATGAAAGTGCATCAAAGAGTACTTCTGATTGCGATAGTTTGTCCTGTTCGGACACTCGCAGTGCATTTACAAAAGTCGCAATTTCTAATCAACGCAATGACTTAGTTGAGGTAAATTCAAATCTCGTTTTCGATGATGGTACTGCTTCGCCAAGATCTTCGGTCTCACCTGATGTCATTGCTTATCAAAATAGTTTAAGCCCACCAGTCCCGGTGGGAGCTTTTAGTCCTAAATACCCTGGTGCTACAACATCTTTTCCAACAAAAACTCCTCCGTTACCATATCCATTTCTCCTGTCTCCTGATTCGGTTCAGACAAGTGCAGTACTTGACAATTTGAAAATTGGCGCCCAACAGGCACCCAAAACTCCTAGTCCCAAAAGTTCATCCGTCAATTTTCGACCAGAAACACCATCTGTTAATGGCGTTAACAATTCTTATCCACCTTTACCTTACAATCCATTAAGCGCGGTGTTTCCCCCAATCGGCGCTGAGACCCTGACTCGACCAAGATTTCTAGCTGCTGCGAGTTTAATACCTTCGTCTCTCGCTGCTCTAGCTCTACCAGCGCAAAACATTTGTGCTAAGTGTAACTTGTCGTTCCGCATGACTTCCGATCTGGTGTACCATATGAGGAGTCATCACAAAAGCGAGCATGCCGGTGAATCTGCCAGACGTAGGCGGGAAGAAAAACTGAGATGTCCGGTCTGCGACGAAAGCTTCCGCGAGAGACATCATCTAACTAGACACATGACAGCACATCAAGACAAAGAGAGCGATGCTGTTGTGGATCAAGTGGAAATCAAGAGAAGAGCCGCTGCTGCGGCAACTGCCACGATGCTCCAAGGGAAGTGACGACGCAAGACAACTTTAGAATTTACTAATTTGAGCAACTTCGTCAATTTAGGAGAGCATGTTTATCGCGGTTGAACGTAAAACTTCGTAGTTTTTAAGTACCTGGCAGTACTAAAATCTACGATTATGGAGTAAAAGCTGAATTAGTACACCGTTTATAAATAAGTTAAGTAATACGTGAACATGTATTGTCACACATACAATGTTCAATAGATGAATGCTCTTTTTAAAAAGGGTCTGGTCCCATCTAGTCAATATTAGTTCTAAGTCCAAGTTACCAAATTGTAAATAGTAACTATATTATCAGTAAAATTTTAAGCGTCACTCTGAAATGTAACTAAATTTTATAGAAAATGGTTACTAAAAAGTGATATAGAACATAAGATATTCGATGTTAGAAAAAAGCACACTTAATTCTAATCAAAAAAACTTTTAAACGCACCATCAAAGAATGATTACTCAAATTATCAATTAATCACAATTTATAAAAATACCGATAATATCTATTCAGAAATGAAATATTGTAACCTCGTGACCCATTCATCTTAAATTGACCATCATGTGTACACTGTACACTGATCATCGCCGAAATTCCGAACGTGGCAAACGATTGCACATGCGAGTCGGCAATAGTAGCGACACTTGGATTCACATTAGGTGCATTTTGCAACGGAGAGGTGTGCGTAGAGAGTAGCGAAGCTCGATGAGGGAGTGAAATTCGGGAAACACAAACGCGTGAGTAGTGAAGCGTCGGATCAACCAAGAATGCACAGCAATAAATAGATCGTAAAGCGAGTGTATGCGCGCGTGGAGGTGTATGCTGGCCGGGAGAGGGAGAAAGAGAGAGACCGAGAGACCGTCGGTGAAGCGCGCATAATGGTGGGAAACAATGAAATGCCACAATCGGAAACAGTACTGGTTTGTTATCTGCTATTCACACTCCATTTAACTTCAAATGCTCCGTCTCTCTCGCACACCCGCACTCGAATCCCCGAGGCTGTATAAGTTGAGATCTGGACTGCGAGTTTTAAATAACTGATACACGCGAGGACATACCGCAGTTTGCTTACGCCACTACGGATGCTGTTACGTACGGCTGCTAATGTGCCTCGGTGCTTTGCTTTGCGCAATAAGGTTTATTATTTGCTGGTATCAGCTGCTGCTGGTTACGTCTGTGCTTCTTCTGCAAATTATGTCCCCGTGATTATAATAGCGTCCGCCTTTTTTTATTTACAAAAAAAGATAATGAGAACAAACCACATTTTTTTGAATTGAAACGATCCCAACTTTCACCCGAATTTGATGTAATTTTTCCTTGCTTATTTTTTGTTTTGTCGCGAAAAAAGTATTCATCTTCTTAACAAAGTTATAAAACTTATATCTCTATATATTTGTGTTTGAAAGGTCTCTAGTCTATCATTAATGTGTAATTATAAGCTATAAATATTTTTTAGCTAGAACCGTTTAAAAAATTTAAGATCAAGAAAACATCTTTAATCAAAAATATAATAAAATTAGAAACTAGTAAATTGTGAAAAATGTATCGAGTGGACCGTATCCCGAAACAATTATGTATTATAGTAAGAACTAATATCCAAATATTACTACGCTAGCTATATGATTAAAAAATTTTTTATTTCTGTTTTGTTGAAAAACATAAATTAAAACATTATATTGTTGAATATATCTCTAAGTAATGTTAAATTATATCAATGTAAATAGCACCTTTGTACATATTTAATATTGTCACCTAACGATTTATCTAATATGCTGTTATTTAATGAATAAAAATACGATTCGAAATCTAAGTAGTGACTCACTTCCTAATTAAATGAACCTGAAATATATTTACCAATAACGTTAGGTAAAATCTTTTTATGTAACAACCGAACAAAATAACTCGGTCATAGATAAACTCTTGACTTTCTTCTTACTCAAATATTTGAGACACAGCGAAGTCGAGCTTATATGCACCAGTACGACGCTTCTGAAACTTTCTTTTGCAAGCTATGCGACTACTACAAGTAAGAGCATTAATGCACAGGCAAAACAAGAAGTATATAAAGTTCCTTCAGCGAAGAAACTGCTGCTGTTGCGTTCAAAGCTGGGGCACATGTCTAATTCGTTGACCCGGCAGTATGGTTGGAGGCCGATAAAACTTCGAGCTCTCGGTAGGATTGATTCATCCTTCTAAGTACGATATATATAAAACAGACCTGTTCAATACTACTTTTTCCGCTTTTTGGAAGTGGTGCGGGGCTGGCTGTATCATTCGTAAGCCGATTACCGAGGCAACGGAGATTAATTTCAACCGAGTCAACTCGACGACGTTTCGCCCTTTTGCACGTGCGGTTCAAAGCAAGATAGGTTATTTTATATATTATTAAGAATATTATCACGGAATAAATATAATATAAGTGAGGTCCTACTTGCTCGTGTCACCAAATATCCGTATAATTTTGTATTTGCTATTTTATTCAAGTAAAACAGATGTACTTTGGTATCAAACAACGTATGGACGTTAAACTTGGAACAAATTGAAGTAGATGGTTTTTTTTGAAAATATATTTTTTTTTGAAAATAAAATCTTATTCCGTATAGAATCCTCCAATTTATTTTATAGACAAGTATATATAATAATAAATATTATTCGACCAAGCAATGAATAAATTCAATTCGAAAGATCACAGATGAACAATGAAGAAATTACAATGATCAGAATAGAAAGAAACAAAAAGAAATATAAACACCCTGAAGTTGGGGAGGATCTGCGAGCGAGAGAGCTATTTATTAAGCCAGATCAACGAGTGTCAGTGCGACGCGCTTTCCAGCGATGCTATCGACCACCGCTTAACTGAAATCATAGCTTACGAGCCTGCCACAGCAGCTCGAGTATACCTCTCCCGCTTTCTTTCTCTCTCCTTCCCTTGGTATAGTTCTTAAACGGATAAAACTTAAGCCTCGGTAACCACAGCCAATACGACAAACAATCTTCCTACATGACAGTGTAGACTCTTCGTTGTCGTCATCCCTATATACGCATGGTATATGCTCAACTTATAAGATTGCGCCTCGACGCGCGCCTCACTTGAAGATAAAGATAATATACCTCAACATTATCATCTGCCGAGAAGATTTTCCTACCGTTTTTTGATGGTCATGATACCCGTGATTACTTCAATTTTCTGCAAATTTATAACCAAGAATTTTTATCGAAATTCTCAAAAAAGGAAAAGAAGCTATGTACCTACTTTTATTCTTTGTTGTACCTTTATTAATAGAATGAATTGTCATTCAATTACAAAATCAGTGACGAGTACGAAATTGATGATATTCGTTCCCAGAAAAAGAACGACCCCCTGTTCAGTAATTTGTAGACAATGCCCGTACATAAGTGTTAAACGTACAGGACATCTGATGATCTTCTTGAATCGTATTTTTCCACCCTCGTTAACGGCAGTGTAGTGCACTGAACGTCGAACCTAAAGAGTCACCTATAAATATGTTTGTAGGGGATTCTCGTGTATTACAAACGCAGTGATAGGGCGCATGCCCGTGCAGCAGCAGTATCAAAAGCACAGAAGACTATACACGCGTTATAATAATGACACAAGTGCCGCGTCGTGCGCGCGGATTCGGTACGCTTGCACGTGGACGTCGATTGGACGCGGACATGCTAATATGGCGCGTCCCTTGGAAAGAGACATTGAGTCAATGGGAGCTCGTTCCCATCCTTATACTTCATCTTTACTCTTATATCCTTATATTGTAATACTCGTCGATCACGGTCTAATGATGGTGACGTATGCGAGCGCCTTACTGTATTTGTGTACCTCAACCCACCAAATCATCATGTATAATACGACTACTTATGCAAGACACATATTATCCGAACGGATTTATAAAAATAAAAAAATTTTAATACCGGATGAATCCGAGCGAGTCTAGCAAACATACCCAAATGCGAGTTTTCGTGATTTAAGACGAAATGTTTCTTATATGCAGATTCGATTTGTTTTGTAGGTAGCACATTTCTTTATATACGTATACATATAGATAATCGTAAGCCTAAGAATTTATAGATAGCGTATTCCCGGATGCAATATACATTGCCAGAGTTACGAACTCTGCGCGATTTTATAGCTTATACCGGATTTCGTGTTTCGTGGTTAAAAAAGTTCTTTGCGAAAAATTATCCTCCAAATAATGACGAATTTCTCGATATTTTGGAGCTAATTTAAAATTGCTTCCTCGATTCTAGTAGATATATTTGACAATTCTTAAACTAGAATATAACGCAATTGAACTTTTTTGCGTACCAATTGATTGCTATAAATATATGTATGTAATAGTTGAAATGAAAAAATAAAGTCAAATACTCAAGCGGCAACGGGAGAACTATATGGTGGTAGGGTACATAGAGAGTCGCCTTGACTGAGAGTAAACCCGAATCGGCGCGCGATTCGTCTCGGTCTTCGGGGTCTATATAGAAAGAACAGTGGCTCAGGCGGACGAAGTGACTACTACGCGACTGCGAACAAGCGGCTAACAACGGTCTCACGATAATCCCTCGACGTTTAAATTTTACTGACAACAAGGCGTCGCTAATGCTCGCACATACTGTATAGATATACGTATATCATCTATGCAGACCAACGACTTCGACGACGTGACGAATGTTTGCGGATATCGTTCTTTCGTGTCCGTCGCGCGCTATAACTCGATCACGGCTGCATTGACATATTACGCTCCTACGTAGCATATTTATTAAGGCATTGACATAATTGTAACAAAGTTTCCCCAACTGAGTTGTTTCAAGATTTATATCATTTTGTTCTGATCTCTAACTACATCCCCACTTGTAATGAACAATTGGCCTGTCAAAAGAGCATGCAAAGAATCTTAGTATCGCCTACGTATTCAATAAAAAGATTTTTTTACAAAAAGTCCATTCGTGGGTATTAAATCTGTTTTGTCCAAATATTACGAGTATTTCGCTGTAGTGCATTCAAAGCACCTGGCCGTATACTCGACTTCCGTGATACGCAAAAGCGTTAAAAAAACTATATCGCAAGCAGATATATGTATGGAAGTCGTGCTGTCGAGCGTGTACAGGTATGTGCAACGCGCACGAAATA